AGACGGGGTTTCACCATGTTGACCAGGATGGTCTTGATCTCTTGACCTCGTGATCCACCCGCCTCGGCCTCCCAAAGTGCTGGGATTACAGGCTTGAGCCACCACACCCGGCTATATTTTCAACCTTCTAAAAAATATATATTTAAACTGCTGGACTACTTTTTTGTGTTTTTATGCAGTATACATGTTTCTCTTTCATTAAATACAGAATGAAAGTCGATCATTTCTAACTAAATTAATGGAGTTATTTCTGAGATTTTACACAGTTGTCTCATGGTATTCACAGAGGATTGGTTCCAGGACACCCCCTCCACCCTACTCCCACCTCACCCTCAGAGTTTACCAAAATCTTTGAATGCCCAAGTCCCTGATATAAAATGGTATACTTATATGCATATAACCTACGCACATCCTCCTGTATACTTTTCATTATCTCTAGATTACTTATAATAGCTAATAAAATGTAAATGCTATGTAAATAGTTATTATACTGTGTTTTAAAATTTGTATTCTTTTTATTTTTGTATTGCTATTTTTTATTGTTTGGGTTTTTTTCCCCCCCACATATTTTTTTATCCTTGGTTGATTGAATTCAAGGATGCAGACACAGAAGATACAGAAGGCTATTTGGTAGTTGTCTTGATTTTTTGTTTCTAATTGACATAATAATTACACATGTGGGGCAAAGTGTGACATTTCAATACATGTATACATTGTGTAAAAATCAAATCAGAGTATTTAACGTATCTACACCTCATACAGCTATACTTTCTTTGTAGTAAGAAGATTCAAAATGCCTCTTTTCTAGCTATTTTGAAATGCAATATTATTAACCATAGTCACCCTACTGTGCAACATATTCCTCCTAACTATAACTTTGTACCCGTTGACCATCTTCTCCCCATCTCCTCCACTCCATTCTCCCCAGCCTCTGGCAACCTCTGTTTTACTCTCTATTTCTGTGAAGTCAACCTCTTTAGATTCTACATATGAGTGAGATCATGTAGTATTTGTCCTTCTGTGCTTATTTCATTTAATGTAATGTCCTACAGGTTCATACATACTGCCACAGATGACAACACCTCATTCTTTTTTATAGCTGAAGAATACTCCTCTGGGTATATATGCACCATATTTTCTTTATCCATTTATCTGTTGATCGACAGTTAGTTAGGTTGCTTCCAAATCTTGGCGTTTGTGAATAGTGCTGCAGTAAACATGGGAGTGCAGATATTTCTTTCACATACTGATTTCATTTCCTTTGGATATATTCCCACTAGTGAGATTGCTGGACGATATGGTAGTTCTGTTAATTACTGCTAAAAGCTAAACATCAGATTTTTATACATATAGATAGCATACATTTATCAGAAATATATTGCAGTTAATAAATACTTGTAATTTTGGCTGCACATTGCAATGTAGTATGACACAGTATTGAGTAATAGCATATCAATTTATTTTCTGTTAATAAACTTTAAAAACCAGATACATTAAGCTGGGCAAGGTATTGTGTGCCTGTAATCCCAGATTCTCAAGAGGCTGATATAGGAGGATCACTTGAGCCCAAGAGTTCAAGACAAGCTTGAACAACATAGCAAGAACTAGTCTAAAAACAAAAAGATACATTAAATATATTACAGCTTATTCGTTTGAATTAAAAAGTAAAAGCTGGACGTAGTGGCTCACACCTGTAATCCTAGCACTTTGGGAGGCTGAGGCAGGGAGATCACTTGAGGTCCGGAGTTCCAGAACAGGCTGAGCAACATGGTGAAACCCCGTCTCTATTAAAAATACAAAAATTAGCTGGGTGCAGTGGCAGGTGCCTGTAATCCCAGCTACTCAGGAGGCTGAGGCAAGAGAATTGCTTGAACCCAAGAGGCAGAGGTTGCAGTAAGCCGAGACTGCGCCACTGTACTCCAGCCTGGGCAACAGAGTTAGACTCTGAAAAAAAAAAAAGTGTTTTTTCTAGGAGAAAACATGCTTTGGCTGGTTCAACAGTAACAACTGACTTATCATCCAATTCTGCCTTGTTCTTTCTGGTAACCAGCGCCATCCTAAATCTGCTTAGGGGCTGTCAGTCACTGGTCACCTCATTAGCATACAAAAAGATGTCACTTTTAAGATCCCAAGGATTTTAGGAGCTGTATGCCAGGAAACTGAGAGGAAGACCAAATATGTATTTCACAGTATCACAGTGGTGGATATGTTCACTAAATTGGATGAACTAAATCTGTAGCCATAAATTGAGAAAATTGAGTTGACAACTGATACATCATTAAAAATGGATTTTGATAATTAAACAGTGCATGACTTTGGCATATAACTTGTAAGAAACTCAAAGATTCAAGGGGAGATAGACATTACTATAATAATTCTCAGCTGAGAGCGGTGGCTTACACCTGTAATCCCAGCCCTTTGGGAGGCCAAGGTGGGTGGATCACGAGGTCAAGAGATCGAGACCATCCTGGCCAACATGGTGAAACCCTGTCTCTACCAAAAATAGAAAAATTAGCTGGGCATGGTGACATGCCCCTATAATCCCAGCTACTCAGGAGGCCAAGGCAGGAGAATTGCTTGAAACCAGGACGTGGGAGTTGCAGTGAGCCAAGATTACGCCACTGCACTCCAGCCTGGCAACAGAACAAGAAAAGAGAAAAAAAAAAAATTCTCACAACTTAGTAATGTGGAAAACATTTCTTAGCATTTATATCTTTAAAATAAAGCAATATCCAAAATAGAAAATAGACCTAGAATTAATATTGAACCTGATTCTTCTAGTGGAAAGCCATATTTATGCATGAGATACATGAAATAATTGTGGGAGGAAAGAGCAGCCCTTCTTATTCCACTATCACTAAGATATGCTTTTCAAGTAAACAAATAGTATAAAAAATTAATCTTTATGTCTTGCTTGTCCTGTACTAATCATTGTAATGATAATGCATAAGAAAATGAATGTTAATTTTTACAGCCTTATGGATTCAGAAGTTAACGCACATTTTAAAATTTCATTTTATATATATTTTGATTGTAGAAAAGTATGGTAGGGTGATTAAAGACAAGCACAAAAAAAAATCTAGGATAAAATTGGAGGAAACGAAATGAAAACAGTTTAAGAAATGAAGGATGTAAAAATCCTAACTGTTAAAATAATGTTTTTAAATGGATTTTGGTCATTTTAAAATGTGTTAGGGCTGAGCATACTGGCTCACACCTGTGGTCCCGTGCTTTGACAGGCCAAGGTAGGAGAATTGCTTTGGGCCAGGAGTTCAAGACCAGCCTGGGCAGTATAGCAAGACTCCTATTTTTTAATAGGATAAAATAAAATATAGTGTGCTAGATACCAACCTAAAAAAATGTGGGAGGTGACTCGTATGTATGTGCATACTTTCTGGAGAGAGAGATGGTCCATAGCTTTCATTACATTCATTAAAGGCAGGGTATGTGAGCCAGAAATCAGTTCAGCACAGTTAGAAGCCAGGTCACCAGTCCCTGGTGTAATATTGAGTCTAGCCTCAGCTTGTTCCATATGTCTTTTCTGTACCAACATGTAGAGGTATGGTAGGTACAAAAGTCTGTCTGCTCTTTAAAATCATGGTAGAGTTATACATTCTTAGGGTAGAACTCTTAGTTCAGAAACATCTTTCTTGTGTATCTCCATCAAATAATTATATTCCTCCTGTGATTGTTTTGTGTACGTAAGTTGGTGGTACCCTCTCTTTCAGTTTGAAGGAAGAAAGTACTGTGAACATGACTTTCAGATGCTCTTTGCCCCTTGCTGTCATCAGTGTGGTAAGTTTTACTGCTAAATGTCAAGTAGAAAGTAAGTTTCCGGCCAGGTGTGGTGGCTCACACCTGTAATCCCAGCACTTTGGGAGGTGGAGGTGGGAGGATCACCTGAGGTCAGGGAAAACCCTGTCTCTACTAAGACTACAAAACTTAGTTGGGCATGGTGGCAGGTGCCTATAATCCCCGCTACTCATGAAGCTGAAGCAGGAGAATTGCTTGAACACAGCGGGTGGAGGCTGCAGTGATCTGAGACCGTGCCGTTTCACTCCAGCCTAGGCAACAGAGCAAAACTCCATCTTGTGGGGGGGAGGACAAGTAAGTTTCCAAATTACTTCAGTCATTTCACACTGGTAAAGTATTGATGGTAAAAATGGTTTTTGATGCTCATTATGAATAACTGTTGGATACTTCATCAGTCCTCTTCCCTATTGTTAATATATAACAAGCTGGAGAAGTATCAAAACCAGAGATAATTGATTTTAAGGACATTTAGGGTAGAGGTATTTCAGGATGAACTAGGACTCCTATCGGTTGGCGTTTGGGAGTGTTCTTTTCCTGTATTAACACAACCTTTATCTACTTGCTTTTGGTTTTGCCAGGAAAGAGGCAGGGAAGACATCAGTGAGGTACTTGAGATGCTTAGGGATGCTTAAGCGCTGCTTGCATGGAGCATAAGTGATTAACTTGCTTGCATGTTGGCCACTTCACTGGTTGTTAATAGCTCTGCTAGGTTTCCAGAGATGGAAGAAACTGAGTAGAATGTTCTAAAGGTTTAATGAAAGAATAAAGTAAGTATGGGTTATAAGAAACTGCTATAGATTTCAGTTGTCTATGCTGACAGTGACTAGAAATAACCAAAAGGCATTCAAGAGAGCCCAGTTTGGAAAGGAAAGCTATATTCAGAGAAGACAGAACAGCCCAAAAATGTGGCAACTGAATCAAAAACAAAGATTCAGATGAAATAAAAACCTTTTTTCTAATGTGCTTACTATGGTACACACATAAATAAAATGTTCTTCTATGGAGAAAGGTTTAAACCGTTTTTTCCCCTCACTGTTTTTCCTTAATTGCCCTCTTAGTAAATAAAGTGCCATGCTTGTTACTTAGGATGTTACTTAGTAACATCCTTTGTGTGTTGTTTTCCCACAGGTGAATTCATCATTGGCCGAGTTATCAAAGCCATGAATAACAGCTGGCATCCGGAGTGCTTCCGCTGTGACCTCTGCCAGGAAGTTCTGGCAGATATCGGGTTTGTCAAGAATGCTGGGAGGTAGGTGGATTTTCATTCTTGTCAGATGTGGGTGAATAATGTGACTGTGACAAGATCATGTGTATTCTCCATGTGGGATGTAAGGCAGTTCTGTAGGACACCGAATTGAGGGTATGGGAACTCAAGACACTGCAGTGTGTTGACTGAATGTTGCTGCTGGGAGTGGACCCTTGTGTTGCTGTGCACAGGGCATAACTGCTCCACACATGGCTGAACTACCAGCGGGGAATGTACATAGATGGAGTTTCTTAAAGATCAGTCAGATATTGGGGTTGGAACACATTTTCATGTAGCTTGATTCTGCTCTGTTAAAAAGCAGAGGAGTGATTTTTTTTTTTTTAAGAAATTTTTTAATTTCTTTTCAGAGATAAGGGAAGCATGTTTCTTTTTAACCATTAGAAAGAACCTAAAATTTTAAATTTAAGTTTTGGCTCCGTTTAGACACCTGTGTCGCCCCTGTCATAATCGTGAGAAAGCCAGAGGCCTTGGGAAATACATCTGCCAGAAATGCCATGCCATCATCGACGAGCAGCCTCTGATATTCAAGAATGACCCCTACCACCCAGATCATTTCAACTGCGCCAACTGCGGGTATTGGGATTGTTTCTTTTTTATTACACAGGCAGTGGGAAGGAAAGATTACATTTATCTATATTTCTGTTACTCTAGCAAACCAAATTGTTTTTCTCCAATTTTTAGTCTAGAAAATGTTAAAACTTTAGAAGTGTCAAGAGAATGATATAATGAAATCTGTGTACCCTTAATTTTATTTCACCATTTAACATGTTGTCATGCTTGTATGTGTACCATACACATTCTCGTTTCACCCTCCTGTGTATGTGTGTACATGTACATGTATACACATACCTCTAAAATTTCTCATGACTCAGTATATGTCTCCTGAGAATAAGGGCATTTTCCTATAGAACCACAATACTTTAAAAAAAATTTTTTTTTTTAAATTTTTTGTTGAGACAGGATCTCACTGTATCGCCTAGGCTGTAGTGCAGTGGGCAATCATTGCTCACTGCAGCTTCAACCTCCTGGGCTCAAGCAGTCCTTCCACCACAGCCTCCAGAGTAGCTAGGACAGCAGGCACATGCCACCCTTCCCAACTAACTTTTTTAAATTTTTTGTAGAGATGGAGTCTTGCTATGTTGCCCAGGCTGGTCTTGAACTCCTGAGCTTAAGCAATCCACCCATCTCAGCCTCCCTAAGTGCGGGGATTACAGGTATGAGCCACTGCACCTGGCCAGAACCACATTACTCTTACCATACCTAAGCAAATTAGCAATAATCTTATCAACTATCAGTCTATATTAAAATACCCCCAGTATCCCCAGAACTATCTGTCATCACTGTTTTTCCAATAGAAGATCCAAAAATACCTCAAAAAAAGGTCTTATCTCTGTACATGCATTACTTTGACAGTTGTAATAATTAGGTATTATCTTAAAATACATTGTTATATTTAATTTGGCTTGGTTTACATCCAAAAGAAATACATTTAATTTTTTGTCTTCAAAAAGTTATGATAAATTGTTGGGCTATGAATTTTCTAAATTAGTATAAAAATTTAGTGGATAAAGATTCTTTACTGTAGTTAATGTGAACTTACATGCTAAATTATAGTAGGGATGGAGAAGAAACATTAAATATTAATATTAAATATTAAGGCTAAATATTAAGAAAACTGTTTGGTGGTATAAGTTCAGCCATTTCATCTTTTGTGATTGAATTATCAGTTTGTGCCATATCTTGTTTTCTTGCCTATCCTTCCTCTTGGGGGATTCTCCTCTGTCCACTTTTCCTATAGAATTACTTCAAAGGGGTGAAATTCAAACAAGTCCATTTGACTAATTGGAACCATCTCTGACCAAATGTTTATTGATGCAGGAGACTGGAAATAATATTTAATTTGAGTATTTGGAGAAGGAAAATTCTGGGCATGTGTTTATGAAAATAAACCTAAACCTATTAACCTATAGCTCTTTTCAACAGCTTGTGACAATTTAAATAATTGTTAGTAAATGGAACTAGTCTGTCAACTTCTCAGTTTGCTTGGAAAGGTAGTGTCTTAGTCTCTTTTATGTGCCTATAGCAGAATCCCACAAACTGGGTAATTTGTAACAAACAGAAATTTATTTGGCTCATGGTTCTGGAGGCTGGGAAGTCTAAGATTAAGGGGCTGGCATCTAGTGAGGACCTTCTTGCTGCATCATAACATGGCAGAGGGCATCACACAGGGGTTGGGAGGAGAGGGAAAGGGAGGAAGAGAAGGAAGGAAGCTGAACTCATCCTTTTATAAGGAACCCACCCCCTCAGTAACAGCATTAATCCATCCGTGAGGGTAGAGTCTTCATGATCTAATCACTCCTTAGAGTCCCTACCTCCTGACACCTGCATTGGGGATCATGCACTTTGGGGGACGTATTCACACCATAGCAGGTAGTATTCCTGAGTCTACCCTCAGCACTGTGATTATTCCCTATAGCTTTTAAAGGAAGACCCAAAGGTACTAAAATGTAATGTGATTATATAAGAAGGAAATGATGAATATGACTGGTGTGGTGGTATATATCTAACCTAGTCTTGCATCCTATCCTTTTAAGATACAGATGTTTTAGTGGGAATCTGAAACCTATTCGGGCCTATTAATTCAGGTTACTCTGATCACCTCTAAAGGGAGAAAAAGAAAGTTGCAGGGATTATCATAGTAATCTCTTTAAAAAACCTTTTAAAAATTTTGCTGGCCCCATCGGTTGGCTATTTTTCTCTCTTAGTATTAAGCTGGGTGTCTTTCTCACGGACAGGAAGGAGCTGACTGCCGATGCACGGGAACTCAAAGGGGAGCTGTACTGCCTTCCATGCCATGATAAAATGGGGGTCCCCATCTGCGGTGCTTGCCGACGGCCCATTGAAGGGCGCGTGGTGAATGCCATGGGCAAGCAGTGGCATGTGGAGGTGAGTTCAGAGTAACCAATCGTTTCAAACTTCCGTGATTCAGTGGTAATCAATCCTTTCAAATCTCTGTGATTTAGGGGTAACCAGTACTTTCAAATCTCCGTGATTCAGGTGTCCTGGCAAGATTTAGGAGATTCTAAAGGTTAAGCATGGACATTTTAAAGACAACTGACTTGCTGATGGTTAAGAATATAGAATGTATACTGCTTTTGGGAATGTCTCAGTAATGATACAGGATGTGGACTTTTGCTCCTAAAGCCTTCTTGAAGCAGGAAGTGCCATGGCCTGTATCCAGCAGCAGCTCCTCCTTTATAGGTGCTACTGTGGTGCTCATCTCTTTGCTCTTTTTGGGCTATTGTAATAGGCTGTGTCTTAAAGTAACCTGTCAAAGACAGACACATGAATTAAAACTGCAAAAGTATTATATTAGGGAGCTACCTATGGCCAAATCAAATGACTATCTCAAACGTTCGTTCATCTTCTCTGAAGATAGGTTAACTTTGTGGTTTATTTTATTAGATATAAAATATGGCAAATCAAAAATGACCTGTAGTAATTTTTTTTTTTTCAGCATTTTGTTTGTGCCAAGTGTGAGAAACCCTTCCTTGGACATCGCCATTATGAGAGGAAAGGCCTGGCATATTGTGAAACCCACTATAACCAGGTATTGACCTTAGTCACTGGATGCTAGATAGACTTTTATGAACTTAAGCTTATCAGTAGTTTAGCTACAAGGAAGTCTCTTGGAAGATGTACATTGTTCAGGAGAGATTTGTTTTTAACTATTTAATGGAAATAATTTCAGACTCAGAAGCTAACTATAAAATAAAAAATTAAAAGAATATCTGTATGCCTTTCATTCAAGTCCACTGTTTGCTTTATCATTTCCTGTGCTCAGTCTTGCTGTGTAAAACACATACTTACATAAATATTATACACAAATATGATGGCTGTTTCTAAAGCATTTGCCAATAAATTCATCATACTCCTTTACCCCTAAATACTTCAATATGTATTTCCCAAGAATATGAGACTCTCTAACATAATTGTAGTTGTCAGTATTGATATCATACTTTAACCCATTTATTCCAGTTTTGTCACTTGAGTCAATAATGTCCTCATAGCATTTTTTTCTACTCCTAGACTGGACCCTGTCTAGGGTTGTGATGTTTTTTTAGCCTTCTTAAATCTGGAACATTTCCAGAGCCTTTTAAAATTTTTGATGACATTGACATTTTGGAGGGATGCAGAGGGCCCCAACCCCCTTTTAATAGACTACTTTCCACTTGGGTTCATCTGCTGCTTCTCTGTGGTTAGATGAGGTTATACACGCAGGTTGCAGTCACACAGTGGCAGTGCATTCTCTCAGAGCCTTCCCTCTGGAGCCCTTCATAATCACCTCTCTTGCACTGGTGATCTCCCAGGCACTTCCTATCCATATATACTCACAGATTTCTATAATTTGCATTACTTATTTGGGTGCTCAAATTGTCTTCTGGAAAGATTTTTTTTAATTGATGAAAGTGAATGATTTTCATTGTAAAAAGTAAAAATTTGTTAAAGAACTTTTACTAATTTTCTCCAGTAGTGATAAATTCTTGATTTAGATAACCAGCTATTTGTTTTTAAATGTTCCATGTTCTAAAACTTAATTCTAACACATCTTGAACCACCTTTTTTTATTTTCAGCTATTTGGTGATGTTTGCTTTCACTGCAATCGTGTTATAGAAGGTGATGGTAAGTATCTGTGTGAGTTTTAGATTGGTACCACTTTGACACAAAAACACTTGGGTCATGTGGAAATTCAGGTTAGTGATTGCTGTTGTTTGGAATGTGATTGTTATCAGTTGCTTTTTCTCTTTCTTTGGTGTATTTCCCAAGTAATCCGTATTAGTAAGATGATAATATCAAAGAGTTGGATTTGTTACTCATTTATGATACTACTTTCAGCCACTGCCACATTGTTGTATGCCAGCAATCATGGGAACTGTCCCTAGTGGACCATAAGATCTGTTTCTGTCCAGTTCCAGGAAGCTCCATAACAACGTTTATTAGGAACAGTTTAATCTGCTATCGTAGTTAGGAAGAGGCACTTTAACCTGCACGTGCTAAAACCTGGCAGTTATCAGCAGGCACATCTAGGACTTACTACCCCTGTACTGTGGTAATTAGGCTGGGCTGATTGACTGGAACAGAAAGGAAGCAGCTGTGTTTGCTAACAGTTGCTAACACAATTCTGCCAGAGACTTCCTGGCAAAGTTTTGAACAATCCTGTTTTCAGCATGATTCATGGCTCCCTGCAGACATCACCTAATTCAGGAAATACTTTTGAAACACTGTTCATGTGCAGTTTGTGAAAAGATTAGTCCAGGAAAACAATCTTTAGTGCCGTTGAAAATAAAACTTACCTCCCTCCTCTGTGAAACAGACGCCAGGTAAAAGAAGCGGAAAAGGAAACTTTCTTGTTATCATCAGCTCTGGAAAAAAGACTCCTACAGACAAATAAGTTAATGCCTGGATTTTTCAAAATCATTTACCTAGTTCATATTTCCTTGTTGGGCCAACAGCAGTAGGTACAGAAACAGCAAGCTCACCTAACCAACATTATGCATGAACAGTCACCACATGTGCCCGGGCCAAGGGGGCACAGTTGCTGGTGTAAGATATGGCACACATCATTTATACCTTCATAGGATTCTTAAGAACAGGAAAAGATTAAAGTCAGCCCTCCGTATCCAAGGGCTGGATCCAAACATTTGGTGATACAACCAACTATGGATCAAAAATATTTAGAGAAAAATAACAATATAAAAATAGTACAGTATAATGACTATATATCATTTACATTGTACTAGGCATTATAATCTAGAGGTGATCTAAAGTATATGAGACAGTGTACGTAGGTTATGTGCATTTTATATCAGGGACTTGAGCATCTGAGATTTTGGTATCTGTACAACGTCCTAGAAACAGTATCCTACACATACTGAGAAACAATTGTATATATAAAGGTTGAGGTCCAGGTGTGGTGGCTTACGCCTGTAATCCCAGCACTTTGGGAGGCCAAGGCAGAAGAATTGCTTGAGGCCAGGAGTTCAAGACCACCCTGGGCAACATAGACTTCTATCTCTACAAAATAAAAATAAAAAATTAGCCAGACGTGGTGGCACACACCTGTGGTCCCAGCTACACAGGAGAATGAGGTGAGAAGATTGCTTAAACCCAGGAGTTCGAACTGTGATCACATCACTGCAATACAGCCTGAACAACAGAGCGAGACCCTGTCTCAAAAACAAAAGAAAAGAACCTCTCAAGAAAGAGGTTCTTGGCTGGGCCTGGTGGTTCATACCTGTAATCTCAGCATTTTGGGATACTGAGGCAGGCAGATTGCTTGAGCCCAGGAGTTCAACACTGGCCTGGGAAACATGGCAAAACCCTGTCTCTACAAAAAATACAAAAACTAGCCAGGTGTAGTCTGGGCATGGTGGCTCATGCCTATAATCCCAGCACTTTGGGAGGCTGACGCAGGTGGATCATGAGGTCAAGAGATCGAGACCATCCTGACCAACATGGTGAAATCCCATCTCTACTAAAAATACTAAAATTATCTGGGCATGGTGGTGCATGCCTGTATTCCCAGCTACTCAGGAGGCTAAGGCAGGAAAATTGCTTTATCCCAGGGGTCAGAGGTTGCAGTGAGCCAAGATCACGCTACTGCACTCCAGCCTGGCAACACAGTGAGACTCCATCTCAAAAAAAAAAAAAATTAACCAGATGTGATGGTGCGCATCTGTAGTTATAGCTACTCAGGAGGCTGAGATGGGAGGATCACTTGAGCCCAGGAGGTTGGGTCTACAGTGAGCCAAGATTTCACCACCACACTTCAGCCTGGGCAACAGATCAAGACCCTGTCTAAATTAAAAAAAAAAAAAAAAAAAGGTCTCCCCTAGGTGCCACAGACATAGTCATTGCAGTCATAGTTCTGTTTTAGAGTTGAAATTCTAAGCTGCCCTGCTCCCCATACTGATGTATTTCCATGTGACCAGATCTCTTTCCTCTTTGTCTAGTGGTCTCTGCTCTTAATAAGGCCTGGTGCGTGAACTGCTTTGCCTGTTCTACCTGCAACACTAAATTAACACTCAAGTAAGTCTATGGTTTTGTCCAATGTGAATCCTAAGACTGAAAACTTTGGGGTGACACTTAAAAAAAATCCTAGAAAAAGAGAATTACTTGATTTCTTATTTCCTCTTTCTGTTCAGGCCTTCTGAAAGTAAAGGTTCTTCCTTTAATTGTTCCCTGTTCTTTCTTCTATTCCTTCTTTGTCCTGCTCAAAGGGATAAATTTGTTGAAATTGACCTAAAGCCAGTCTGCAAACACTGTTATGAGAAAATGCCAGAAGAATTTAAGAGGCGACTTGCCAAACGGGAGAGAGAAGCAAAGGATAAGGACAAGCAGAAAAAGAAAAAGCCAGTCTGTTTGTAAACTTTTCTATCCCTCTGTCATCATTTTCACTACTTTCTCCTTTGGTTAGTCCTTTGGAATATGTTTTTGTTCTGTTTCTGTCTTTTTCTTTCTTCCTCCCCCCACCCCCACAACTTTTGGGCATGTATTTATAGTCATCAGAGATTGAAGCACAAATATTTGTCCTCTGTAGAGTTGGTCCTTTTGCATAACTACTAAAATTACAAAGATTAAATGAATATGCTCCATACTTAGTACAGGTTTGTGGTCATATATTTCACTTACTCTGTAGACTCACTCACCTCATTTTTTAAACACCATGTTATACATTTCTATTTTTTTAATGGATTTAAAGGGAAGAATTCTAATCTCTTAATAGACCTTGGAAAAAGTTTTCAAGGATTTTTGTCTAATAACTAGCTTTTAAAAATCCTGGTTTTTTGTTTCTTTGCCAAAATCATTTAATTGTTAAATTATGATATTTTTAAAAATATGACATTTTAAAAAACTTATGTTCTATGTTATGTATTATATTATTTCAGCATAGCCAAGCACGCTGGCTCATGCCTATAATCCCAGCACTTCGGGAGGCCATGGTGGAAAGATTGCTTGAGCCCAAGATTTTGAGACCAGCCTGGACAACATGGCCAAATCCCATCTGACCAAAAAAAAAAAAAAAAAAAATTAACTAGGCGTGGTGGCCCATAGCTGTAGTCCCACCTACTCAGGAGGCTGAGGTTGCAGTGAGCCATGACTATACCACTACCACTGCACTGCAGCTTGGGCAACAGAGTGAGACTCTGTCTCAAAAAAAAAAAAAAAAAAAACCTTTCAGCATGTTTCACATCTAGGCAAAGTCCATCTGATTTACATAAGACATCATTTTCTGTGATGTTTATGTATGCATTCATACAATGCCCATATGCTATTGTTTATGAATTCATTTCCTCAATGTCTTCAAAGTCTCTTTTAGTCCTGATTTTTATGGGAAGTATTTCAATCCTTGAAGTTCTCTTGAATTATTAGCATGATTTTTCCATTTTTCCCTCAGTTACCATTGTGTTTGGAGCTCTAAAAAATATTTTGTTTCAGTTTACATGTTTCCTTCTATAAAGAGGAATTAAAATGTAAATATAAGATTAAAACAATGAGCTGGGTATGGTGTCTCACACTTGTAATCCCAGCACTTTGGGAGGCCGAGGCAGCAGATCACTTAAAGTCAGGAGTTCGAGACCATCCTGGGCAACATGGTGAAACCCTGTCTCTACTAAAAATACAAAAAAATTAGCCAGGGATGGTGACTGGTTTCTATAATCTCAGCTACTCATGAGGCTGATGCAGGAGAATCACTTGAACCTGGGGAGGCGGAAATTGCAATGAGCCGAGATGTTGCCACTGCAATCCACTCTGGGCAACAGATCAAAACTCCATCTCAAAAAAAAAAAAGATTTAAGCAGTGGAAAGCTTGCTAAGGTAGTCTCTCTAAAAACAAGAATAATTTTTTTTTTTTTTATAAAAAAAAAAAAAAAAGGCAGTTTTAATAGCTTTTGCTCTAAGAAGACCTTGGGAGAAAAGCTGTAAAATAATTCCCAGTGCAGTGTTTTAAAACAGAAGATTTTTCATTTTAAATACGTGTTTAGGAATTACTTTTGTTATTAACATTGTCCTTTAAAATGATCTTGAAGCAAAGTCTAGTTTAATATCATATTTAAATATAGTAAAAATATCAGCAGATTTTATCATTTTTCTTATAGATGATAGTATACCACTAGATTTATTTCATAAATGCTACCTGAATATAATTTCACAGGTACAAGTTAACAAGTTGTATATTTACTCAACTCAAAATTAAACACTGTGGATTTCTACAGTAATGAGCTCCTATAGCTACCTGTTGGAAATGCATTACAGATGGTCAGAAGGCTTGTCTGAAAAGTTATCTTCTCCAGGACATTTAACAAATAAATTGATATGTGCTCTAGCTTTTCAAAAGAATAGTTGAGTTCTTCAAATAGCTACCATTGACAATACAACCACAGGTGATCTGGTTATATTTATCTAAAGAGTGATTAAAAACTTTCTTCCAACCTTTCTGTCAGATAACCAAAATAATCCCTTATAATTTAAAATTAATTAAACCACATAGCTACCTAATTTAAATTACTAAGTAAGATCATGTTGCCTCCAATAAAGAACTCATTCACATTACAAAAATATGATTCTTTCCTTTAGATGAATTTATCTTTAAGGTATTCTCAAGGTATTTTAAAATGTGATTACCAGCCTGGGCAATACAGCAGGACCATTTGGCTACAAAAAATTTTTTTTTAAGTTAGCCAGGCTTAGTAGTATGCACCTGTGTCACAGCTACGCAGGAGGCTGAGGTTGGAGGATGGCTTGAGCCCCAGAGTTAGAGGCTGCAGTGACCTATGATCACCAGTCCAGCCCGGGCGACAGTCGATTCTGTTTCCAAAAAAAAATACGTGATTGACTTTACTTATGTAAATTATATTTACATTAGATTTCCTGTTTACTTAGTACTGAATAAAATGTAATCTATTAGTCTATGTTACACAGATAGATGTATAGAACCAATTTATAAGGACTTTTTAAAAAATGGTATTTTTTTTTTATATATCACAGTAAGAATTGAGGTTGGAATTATGGTTTTTTTTTTTACTAATATGAATATAGATATCATCTAGTTGCCTTTGTTTAGTTCAGTACAATTCGCATTATTTATGTATCTTTGTTGAATATGTTTCTACTAATTTCTTTTTCTTTTTTTTTTTTTTATAATGATTGTCTTTAGGAATAAGTTTGTGGAGTTTGACATGAAGCCAGTCTGCAAGAAGTGCTATGAGAAATTTCCATTGGAGCTGAAGAAAAGACTTAAGAAACTAGCTGAGACCTTAGGAAGGAAATAAGTTCCTTTATTTTACTTTTTCTTTTCTTTGCAAGATAAGAGATTACCAACATTGCTTGTCTTGATCTACCCATATTTAAAGCTATATCTCAAAGCAGTTGAGAGAGAAGAGGACCTATATGAATTGTTTTATGTCATTTTTTTCATTAAGAAAAAAAAATTTTGTAATCGTGTTTAAAATACAGATGAAGTCAGTATTTGCCTTTGTCAACCCTTATCCATTTGTTGACATGTAGACTATTTACAAAAAACACATGGTTAAATGTTAGATTTTAATTAAGGCCCCCCAAAATTAAATATAACTTTTTTTAAATGACAGGAGTCAGCTTTTACATGACTCAATTGAAAAAAAAAAAAACAGTATAAACATTAATTTACTTTGTATTCAAAAGAAAATTCCAACTGCTGTTGGGGAAGGATACAGAGAAGAAAAATAACCATGCAAGAAAAACAAAAACAAGAAAAATGAGTCTTATACAGTCTTAGTATATTTATCAAAGTAGTAGCTATAAAGTGAATATATACATTACTAAGACAAAAAATAAAAGTATAATTCAGAACTACTTGACTTTTTTTAGTTAAATGCAGTAATTATTATGCTTAGTTTTATAATCTGCCCTCCTTCTGAATTTTTCCTTCAAATGATTACTTAACACAGTAGTTATAGCTAGCTAGTAGGATGTCTTTTAAATTTTTGTGCAAAAAAGATGTATACCAGGTATTTGAAAATATACAATATTGGAAAATGAAGTATTTTTAATGTATTAACAGCAACTGTCCTCCTAAGCTTAATGTCAAGCATGTAGTCTTAGAATAGGGCATGAAATTAAATTGTATGTAGCTTGGAATCTATTGCTTCAGAAAAGTGAATGCGTATGTCAGTCATATTGCCTTCATAACCATGCTAGTATCTATGCATTATACATATTTAAACTTGCCTTGCCTTAAAAAAAAAATACGTAATACATACTTAAATCAGGAATTCTAGCCATCTCACAGAATACCAACTAAAACTAAGTACATTGAGATCTGAGATTGGTAAACCCAGATTCATTTAACACAGCTTTAATTAAATTTTTAAAAAGTCTATTCTTTTTGGGGGAAACCCATTGAAGTTAATTTCTATTATCTTATTAGAAGAGAATGATGTTGATATGTGTTTCAGATTTTTCATTTCAAATCTTGTAATTAATTGGATTTATTTAATATAAATAGGAGATACAAATAACACTCTTAAATTGGAAGAGGGGTGTCTTGGTATTCGTTTTAGGTCAAAATTAGTGATTCTATTTTTATCAAAAGTTTTATCCTGAAGTTTCTGGACCACTTTTCCTTAATAAACTTGTTAATGGAAAGCGAGCTTTATGAACATTTTAAAAATGTTGCTGCTGCTTTCTTACTTAAAAAGAAAGTTGCCAAGATAGACTTCTTAGGGAGAAAAAATTTTTTCCCCAAAATTGCTGAAATATTGTTTTGCCATTAAAAAAAAAAAAAGTCTCAGGATATTACCACTCTGCCATTAAATATTTGTATGCATGCATTATTTTAAAATTCTGTGCATGTACTTTATGGAGTACATTCTATTTTTGTTTTCAGACACCTTACAACCAATTATTTTTTTAGTAATCTTTTAGAATTAAAACAATTATAAATGATTTAAAATAATATCACATAGTTTAAGATTGTATATGTTCAGTAGTGTCAATCAATCATTGCATTTGACAGTAAGAATCAAAGTCTCTTCAGTGTGCCTTTGTCAGCTAATATGTAACCAGCAGTGATAACCTTGGGAGTATTTATTAAATATTATACTATGAATATAGGCAGAATAGGACAGAGTTTGCAATAGAGAGTCTTGATGCTAAATTCTCATATACCTCTACATGAGAAATATGGAGCAGAAAAACAAGCGTTTGCATATATTCTTCATCACTTTGAAGATGCATGGCCTGAACTCGACTGCTTGTGTCTGTTTACATATCAGGCATAGCCAGGCATCTCCTGTAGCCGGAGGTTCCACCGCTGTCTTTGCTCAGTCCTCTTTTAAAATAAGAATTAGTATTTTCTAGAAGCTCAACTTGCTAAGCCTCTAATACTTCAGCGTAGTTTATCTAGATAACAGTACTTTCTTCCCTGATAAATAATATCATTGGAGCCCTTACATATAAGGAGAAGAGGAAGAAGTTGAAAAAGTGTAAGTGGATTAAAAAAGAAACTTGGTCTAGTTCATATTTTTAATGGCGCTTTCTCTGGCTGCTGGAAAACTTAGGCCAGTAAGCGTCTCTTTGTTTAAAGTCCTACAAGGCAATTTGAAATAATTCATTGTTCATGCCAAAATTCTAAGTACTGTTTTTCTTAACAAGCATAATACGATCAGGAAAAATGGGTACAAGTAAAATATTCTTTGAATCATACTCAAAGCCTTATTAACACTGCACTTGAATAATAGGTCATTTTGCCTCACTCATTTGCCAAAGTAGCCATTTCTAAGTTAAGGACATTTTGAGGAAGGCTGATAGCCTTGTCGTATTTCATTTTAGATTGTAAGCTCAATGGCAGGGATACTAAATCGATAATTGTGTTTTCATATAGCAACCACCACAGGTTACTCTTGGTGCTTAATAAATGTTTATAATCATTAACAATAACTTGTATATTATTTAATTTGAATGGTATAGCTATGAAATACATATGGAAATTGAAGTATTCATGAATATGTAATGGAAACATTCAAGTAAATGAATAAAATGATCTGGTTACTATGGATAAGCCAAATTTTGAACCATATAGAACAATGGTGTAGCCTTCACTGTAAATGCTGGGGGGGGGGGGTTGTTTTTGTTTGTTTTTGTTTTGTTTTGTTTTTTGAGACAGAGTCTCACTCTGTTGCCCAGGCTGGAGTGCAATGGTATGATCTCGGCACAAAGGACATACAGGCCAAGCATGGTGGCTCACACCTGTAATCCCAGCACTTTGGGAGGCTGAGGCCGGTGGATCACTTGGGGAGTTTGAGAAGCAGCCTGGCCAACATGGTGAAACCCCATCTCTACTAAAACTACAAAAATTAGCAGGGTGTGGTTTTTCGCACCTGTAGTCCCAGTTACTCGGGAGGCTGAAGCAGGAGAATCACTTGAACCCAGGAGGCAGAGGTTGGTTGTAGTGAACCAAGATTGCGCCATTGCATTCCAGCCTGGGTGACAGAGTAAGACTCTGTCTCAGAAAAAAAAGAAAGGAGATATATAGCTTAATAAAAATTTCAGCAAGCCCTGAGTCACTGTGTGCAGTGTGTTGGGAAGACACTCACTAACATAGAGTATTCCTCTTCCAGTGCTTGATTCACCCAGTTCTGCATCCACCTTAAATGTAGAGAATCCTGGGAGCCCTGTCTGAGTCTTGCATTCCATTTCCTTCCCTGAGGAGGTGAGACAGGTCATCACATCTCCCTGTGGGAGGTGTTGGATGGGGTGAACACAGAGCATGCTAAACCGTAGTGGCAGGAGCCCAGGAGGGGGAGGGAAGGCTTCCTAGAAGAGCTGGATCTTGAACAGAAGCTGGCCAGACAGGGAAGGAGGATAGAGAGTGGGCATCCTAGGACCTCTTCCATTCCCGTTTTCTCTATTTCTCTTGGCATTACCATCAGTGTAGCTCCCAAGCTAATAACAATTTGACTTCAATTTCTCCTCCCCATAGCCTACATTTGCCCCCACATCTAAGTCCAAAATTCATCATCTCTGCTGTGAAAAGGTCCTAGAAACCTTTCTTCTGCTTCTGACTTTCAGCCCCTGCTTGCCTCAGGCTGTCCTTACTCTGTATCCATCAGTCACCTTGCCCTTGCTGTCAGCCTCGGATTCGCTCACTGGAACAGAATGAAGTCGAACTCTCCCATGGCAACCGATTAGTCTGTTTTTTTCTCAATGGCCAATCCAAGTGCCACACAGAATTGATTTGTTTTCCCAGATCTTGACCGGCCCTCTTGTAATAAATATACCCTTCTCGCTTTTGAGGCTCAGCTCAAATATCATCTGATTTGTGAAGCCTTTCCTGATTTGTTTGCTTGTTATTTATTTGTTCCCCTATTTCTTTGTGTGTACCTCTGTCTCGTGGTTCTGATGTGCATTTTAAGTATTGGTTTATGTTCCCATCAGAAGGTTGGCTCCCTTAAGGGAAGAACTGTGTTGACTTTATCACTGTATACTCTGTGCAAGTCACAGGGCCCAGCACCCTATAAGAGCTCAGTGATCACTGAGTGAGTGAATACATGGGCAGTCAGTGTACGTTATGCCCTTACGTACATTCAAGTATTCTAAAAGCTATTAAAACTAAAAATCAGCACACAGACCACAGCCAGGGTTTTCTTCCTAAAAAACAAATCCCTTCCTTGCTTTAAAAAAAAAAAAAAATCTACTTGGGCTGAGCATGGTCGCTTATTCCTGTAACCCCAGCACTTTGGGAGGCTACAGCAGGAGTATTTGAGCCTGGGAGTTCAAGACAAGCCTGAGCAACATAGCAAGACCCCAGTCATACAAAAAAATTAAAAATTAGCCAGGTGTGGTGGTGAGACCCCATCTCTACAAAAAAAATCAAAAAGTTAGGCATGGTGGCATATGCCTGTGGTCTCCAGCTACTCTGGAGGCTGAGGATGGCTCACATCCTCTCCTTAGTCAAGAGATACTGTTCTTGAACATGAGTCTCTATTTCTGAAACTTTTACATGCATATTTCCTCTCTCAAGTGGTAAATTCCTTCAAAGAACAGCAAGAACAGTGGTCCCTAAGTGAAGCTTCATCCGTATTTACAGCCTCTCCTTATCATTTGCATCACTGCCTGAGTTCTGCTTCCTGTCAGATCACCGGGGGCATCAGATTCTCATAGGGGCACGAACCCTATTGTGAACTGTACATGCGAGGGATCTAGGTTGTGTGCTCCTTATGAGAATCTGATGGCTCAAGATCTGTCACTGTCTCCCATCACCCCCAGATGGGACTGTCTAATTGCAGGAAAATAAGCTCAGGGCTCCCACAGACTATGCATTATGATGAGTTGTATAATCATTTCATTATATATTATAATCTAATAATAATAGAAATAAGGTGGACAATAAATGTAATGTGCTGGAATCGTCCTGAAACCATCTGCACCACCACTGTCTGTGGAAAAATTGCTTTCCACAAAAGTGGTCATTGTGCAAAAAAGCTTGAGGACCACTGAGCTAGAGTCTTCTAATGTCGTATACCTGTAATGAGACCTGAACTATTTAGAAATTATCTTCCTGGCAACTTCCATCAAATTACAGGCAAAAATTAGGACATAAAAGCCTTAAAAAGACCAAATATTCCAAAGTTCATATCTTTACTCTTAGAAATATCTCTTAGGCCTTGCTTATCAGCTGCTTACTGTAAATTTATACACAGCTTTAACAAATTCCCTGAGTTTTTTTCCTATACCAAACAGAAGATAGCAGATTAAAAATGGGGATAGAGTAGACTAACGGCAAGCAAATTAAAGAGACATTGAATGTCAACTGTTGTCAGCCACTGTGCTGGAAGATAGTTAAACAATGAAAGGACTTTAGGCCAGGCGGCTCACACCTATAATCTCAGCACTTTGTGAGGCCTAGGCAGGCAGATCACTTGAGCCCAGGAGTTCAAAACCAGCCTGAGCAACACAACAAAACCCCATCTCTACTAAAAATACAAAAAATTAGCCCGGTGTGGTAGCATGCACCTATAGACCTAGTTACTTGGGAGGCTAAGGTGGAAGAATCACCTGAGCCCAGGACGTCAAGGCTGCAATGAGCCATGATCGTACCCCACTGCACTCTAGCCTGGGCAACAAAGTGAGACTTTGAAAAAAAAAAAAAAAAAAAAGCATCAGCCTATAGTGTGATAAGAATCAATGTTAGAAATATGAATGGGATACAGAGATTGCTCAGAGAGACAGGGTGATTGTAGGGCATCTGCAAGGATTTCCCAAAGGTGGTGATGGCTACCATAGGGTTTGAAAGACATGGAAGGAGCTTTCCAGAGGGAGAAAGGGGAAAGTGGGGGAGTGGGGGGCTTTTTAGGCAAAGAGACCAGCCTGTAAGGAGAGCCTGGTGTGATCACAGAATGGTGAGAATTCCCATTTACTTGAGCGTAACCTCTGATGAGGGAGATGAAGTTGGAGATGGTGGCTAACGTGGACCTGTGTGCCTTGCACAGTACCTGACATGGCAGAGGCAGTCAATAAATATCTGCTGATTAATTGTCAGACATTGGTCAGCTTTTTGGATGCTGACAACACAGTGTTTTGTCAGCCAAGAATCAGATCCTGGATGGTGGGGGTTTCATCAAAGCCAGACTATCATACGGGGTCCCACCAATCCTCTCCAGGCAACAGCCCTGTATCTCACTACACTACTGGAACCACAAGAAAAGGGAATAATACAAGAAATGATAGGATATACTAGATGATTGATGCCAGAGGAATGGGCTAGTAATGTGATGGGAACTCAAGGGATAGAAAAAGTGAACACTCTGTAATAGAGTGGTCAAGGAAATTATACCAAAGGGGCAAGAGTCGAGCCTGTCTTTGAATAATAAGGGGAAAACTCAGGGTTGGAATTACATGTACTGGGTGTAGTGTGAGCAAAGGGCCTGATAAATTCCTGTTTCCCATATAGCTATCAAGGTCATCCTTTAGTAATGAATTAAGTTCTTTCTTTTCTAACTCAAAATTTATCTGCATATTCACCCAAATATCCAGATCTGACACTGTAGGCTTGGGCTAATATAGTGGGGTGGAAGAGGCTGGGGTTAAGGTTTAAAGTTCCAAGGGCTGAATCAAAATAAATGTTGTATTTATCCAAGGAAGAGCAAGTCCAAACCATGGAGGCCTCAACCAAGGTGAGATGGAAAGTTAGAGAGCCTTAGGGAAGCTCTGAGCAGGGACCCCAATTAGCGGGGACAGTAGCTAGGGCATGAGGTTTGTCCAAGAGAGCACTGTGAGATCAGGATCAGAGTTGCTGCAAGAGACAAGAGACCCTACGATTGGGTGGCAGCAGCACGTCATAGAGATGAGCCTCCTTCCTCAGTCTCTTCCTCTTGTCAGAACCCTTTGCCTCACCCTATAAATGCACACACACATGCATTCACCATGTTACAGAAACCTTTCTCAGTCTTGCCATTCTCTCAAATTATGCATTGGTCTTCCCTTCATCTTCGGATTATTTAGAGTAATCAGAGTTCCCACTTCTACCATGATGGAGTGAAGAGGTCAACAAATCTTTCCAAAATGTAACTATATAGTTGGACAAACCATTTAGCACTCTGTAATTTTACCAAAGGCACAGCACAAATGGGAATGTGTTTAAGAATGAAAGCTGGCCAGGTGCAGTGGCTCACACCTGTAGTCCCAGCACTTTGGGAGGCCAAAGCAGCAGGATCACTTGAGCTCAAAAATTCAAGAACAGCCCAGGCAACATGGTAAGACCCCTTGTCTCTACAAAAAACCAAAAAAGGCATGGTGGCACACACCTGTAGTCCCAGCCACATGGAGGCTAAGGTGGGAGAATCACTTGAGCCCAGGAGGTTGAGGCTGCAGTGAGCTGTGATCACACCACTGCACTCCAGCCTGGGCAACAGAGTGAGACAGACCCTGTCACAAAAAAA